TGTATTGTTCTTTATATACACACACATATAACATACACTGACATATTTAGAGCATATCATATATGCATACACATTCATATAATGCATATATCACTGTCCTCTGTACCATATATCCATATATATATGGTGTACAAATACGTGTACACAATGCACTCAAAGTATGATCAAAATATACAGTGAATATTTCAAAGTTTTAAAACTTACTGCAGTACAAGCCACACAGCTATGAATCCCTCTCAAAGTGCTCTCGCTCGCTTCAAACGCACTTACCCCATTGGTCTTGCCACTTTCTGAAGCAGTTCTGGACACCCTCTTCTCATTCACGACTTTATGAGAGTGATAAAAACACTGAAGGCGGCTGCCACGTGCCATCTCATGGAAATGCAGTCTCGTGAACACATTACCATGTCCCTTTATGTACCATACGTACCGGACCTGGCATTGTGCTACTTCTGCTCTCCCCCAGTCAAAATGACAGGAAAGTAAACATTTTGGATCAATTTAGGACACTGAGGCAGCCATGACAGTGCAATTAAAGGCACTCATAAAAGAGGACTTGCAAAACAGCTTGGGAAAGTGGCAAGGATAACAAGATAAGAGCGTTTGAAACAAGGGGCCTATTTTGAGGGGAATTTATGGCAATGTGTCATTTACTGTGACAATTTTTTTTAAGTTAAGCATGAATATTTAAAAGTTAAATTAGTCACACCTCGTACACATATGATCAGAAATTTGTATCGTTTGGATCAGTAAGGCCATGCTGAGCTTTGCTGCCTCAAAACAAAGTCAAGTCTTAAGGTCCTAAAGGGTGAAAGTTTGTTTCTTCCCTTTGGGAGCTGCTGTGGGTTTGCAGGGTGGTCCGCACTCCGTGTACATTGGTAGGAACTCAGGGTGGCAGACTGGTCCCTGTCTGGGTGTCACTGGCCGTTGGGCAGAGGGAAAGGAAGCTGGAGAGAGGGTCCTGCTTCGGTTCTTAAAGGCTTTGACTTGGCAGTGACATGGACACCAGCCCTTCTGGCCCATTCCCTGATTGGAAGGGCTGTGTGTCACCTCATGGTGACCTGAAGGGACTCGGGGTGACACAGACCCCTGTGTCACTGTGCTGTTATCTGCTCCCTTTGGAAGGTCTCTCCTGACCCTGGTCCTGGGGAGCAGTGTGGCCATCTAGAAAAACCGGAAAATGTCCTCTTTTTCACAGATAGCAAGCATTCGATAACCACAGAGATTCCCTATTAGTCTGAGTTAATAAGTAACTCACAGCAGGATGTGGTTCTCACTTACAAGCCAGGAATCTGGTAGGATTGCTCCTTCCTCTACCTCATTTCGAGGCACTTCTTGGTTCTTTAAACATGTCCTAGTTGAGTGCATGACTTTTCATTGTCCACTATCTCTTAAAAATTGCTGGTACTTATGTTATACATAAATAAAAACAGTAGTAAATAATAGCTCTGGTCAATGAATGTTTCTTTGCAATGGCAGTATGAGATATTATTATATTCAGTATTATGTAGGCAGAGAAACAGGCTCAGAGAAGTGACTTCCATAAGACCACACAGCCAGCAAACAGAAACTAAACTCAGTTTTAACTGATACCAGGTACATTTTTTTACATGTATTTATTTATTTTTTTGTTTGTTTTTGTTTTTGTTACCGGGGATCGAACTTGGGCCCTTGCGCTTGCGAGGCAGGTGGTGGAACTACTGAACCAGATCCCTGGCCCCAGTATTTTACTTTTAGCATTTTTATTTCCTAGCATCACATAGAGAGCTGACTCAGTTCAGGTAGTGCATCATGTTCTAACCTAGCTTGTGTTTTCATAAATTTGGATTTTCTCTGATTTACCTGTAAGAAAACTGGAAATATTTGTGAGCCTAAATTGTTCGTGTTTTTCAACTGGTACAATGACCCCTTTGAGAAACCGATTTTATGTTATGTCTTCTAGTTTAGGTCTTTTTCATTTCCACTCTAGTAGTAAGACTTAGGACTAATATATTTATAGAGATGTACGTAGTTCTTAAGTGTACACTTGATGAAATTTTATACATATCTGTCTATGCCCCCATGCAACCTAAGATCACCACTCAGCACCTCAGAAACTCTCTTGTGGCAGTTCCCAGTCATTACCTGCCTCTTTCCTTCCCCAGGATATGTGAGTTCTGACATCCATCAGTACATGTCAAGATCTGTATGAACTTGTATGAATGTTATACAGAACATGCTCTCCTGTGTCCAACTGTTTCCACATCCTTACATCTGTGAGATTCATCCATGATATTGCATGTAGCAAAAGTTCATTTTTTTTGTTATTGTTGTATAGTATTTCATGGTACAAATATGCCCTGATTCATTTCCTTATTCTACTACTGAATGACATTTGTATTGCTTCCAATTTTTAGTTCTCGTGGAAAAAAAAATGTTTCTGTGAACATTCTTATTGCCTTTTGGTAGACATATTCATTTCTTTTGAGATATGTAGCTATATCTGTTTTTAATTTCTTGCATATACTAGGCATCATTTAGCTTGCTTAGGCTTTGTTGGGTCACAGAAATTCCTTGAGCATAAACATACTGGCCGGGGAATTAGCTCAGCGGTTCAGTGGCCTGCCTTGCAAGTGCAAGGACCTGAGTTCAAGCCCCAGTACCAAAAAAAAAAAAAGAAATTATAAAAAACATATTAATTTCTACAGGTAAACAAATAGGTTCAAATTCTGTGTTGTGAAAAACGTTTATAATAAAGTTTAGCATTTGTTCTTCACAGAACTACACTGTGTATAGATGTTTCTTTTTGTAAAGCTCACATATTGGTCACAATTTTCTTTCATTTGCAAATAACCAACCCAATTCAAACAAACTGAAGCCAAAAAGAGAATGTGATGACTCAGGTATCCAATGTCATCTGCCCCTCAGGTATGGCTGCATCCAGGTGCTCAAACAGTGTTATCAGTACTTGCTCATGGTTTCTGTCTGTCTCTTAGTTCTGCTTTCTCTTGTTGGCACACCACCACCTGTGACCACTGGCAACTTCAAGTTTAAGATTCCTAACTCTAAGTCCAACAAAAGACTGAGCTGTGCTCTTCCTTATAGTTCTAATAAAACTGCTAGAATTGAATCTCACTGGCTCTGAGAACCCTGTCCCCATGGCCAGAAAGAAAATAATTCTGATAGGGTCCAATGGCCACACCCAACCTGAGGTGACTGCCGGTGAGGGAGAGATATTGTCAAGGAAACTAGGAGAAAAATAGACCTCTGCTGGGCTGAGACATAGGAAATTGAGTTGGCAAACAAATATTTGGAAACCACAGATAATAGCAGAAAGAATATTGCCTTTAGCTCTGATTACTCAAAAAGTCTAACTCTTGTCATTTACATAGAGATAAACTTGTACACATTGGCTGCATTTTCAAAATCTCCTACTTCCTTCTTTTGAGGGCATCACTATGTTATCATGCTAGCTTGAAACTGGATATGTTTGTCTTTCATTTTGCATCTCTTCTATTCCATATTGAGCCAGCCAATTAATCTTATTGACTCTGCCTTTAAATTACCTCCCTTACTTATTATTTTTCTTCTCTATTCCCACTAATGCTACTCCAGCAGCTCCAGACTTACATTCTATCTCCCTTGAAATAAGAGCCCTTTGTTAATAAGTCTAGTTCAGGTCCAGCAGTCCCCAACCTTTTGGTACTGGGGATTGGTTTTGTGGAAACCAGTTTTTCTATGGATGAGGCTTGGGGTGGGGAGAATGGTTTCAGGATGATTCAAAAGCAGTCTAGGTCCCTTACTTGTGCGGTTCACAGTAGAGTTTATGCGCCTGTGGGAATCAAAGGCTGCCTCTAGTCTGACAGAAGCAGTAATGCAAACGATGGAGAGCGTTGTAAACAGACGAGGCATCATTCACTTGCCCATCCTCACCTCCTGCTCTGCACCCGCTCTATAACCAGTAGCAGTCTGTGGCCTGGTGGTTGGGAGCCATGGTCTAGGGGACTAGCTTGAGTTATAAACCCATTCCTGAGCCACAGCCTGTGGCCAGGGGAAGGACTTGATTGGCCAGGCCTGGGTCATGTGACCACCCTGGAGGCGGTCAGGAAAGCAGTCCGCCCTTCCTGCATGACCTGGACTGAGGATGCAGGGAGGGGAGGATGGCAGGAAAATCTTGGCATCAGTGCCGAAAGAAAGGGAAATGAGTTTTTTACAGGCAGGTAAAAAACAATATATGGCACACCTAGAAAGGAAAGCCACATCACTTCCAACTGGGATGTACGCTGTGTATGTAGATTAGAGCTCGTGGAACTCATAAAGTCATCTGTTCACACTGGAAGGGGTCACAGCAAATGTCTCTCTACCTGAGCCTTCTAGTCCCTGTCAGCTAGTCTTCTTTTGTTGCACCCATACTAATGTATGCTTTGTACCCCTGTTTACGTATGCTTTGAACCCTAGAAAATCCCTCAAAAGTTCCTGTTCCTTCTAATCCTTCGGTCCATTGCCCTCTTCGCCAAACAAGGCAATGAATTATTTAAGATATAACTTTGGTTGCATATATCAACCCCACCGCCCCCCCAGAAAACAGTAGTTTAAACAAGATTTTTAAAAGCTCGTTCTATCTTCCATAATTATCTAGTACTGATTTGGTGGCTCTGCCCTGTGAAGTCACCAGCAACCCAGTCTCTCACAGTGCGGAGTGCTGCTTCTGTATACATGGCCTGAGCTGGTGGACTGTGTCTGCAATCTAGCCCTCAGGAGGAAAAGACTGGGAAAGGAAGGAATAAGCCCTTTCCTTCAAAGGCACTACCTGGATGTTGTATGTGTTACTTCCATTCATATCCCACAACCACTGCCGTTCCCACATGTGTGTGCAAGGGAGGCTGGGAAACATTGTTTTTTATTCTAGGGAACTTAGTTCCCAGCTGGGAGAGAAGAGACTGTATACTGCATGATGACCAGCAATTCCTGCAAGGAAGAAAGAGAAAAATCTGACTTTTTGTGTCCTTTTTGTTTTTCAGATTAAGGAAAAGATCGTTGAGTGACTGCAAATGTGGGAAGGTCATAACACTCTGGAGTAAAGAATCTGGACCAGCATGTCTGCCTACTACAGGAGTAACAGCTATGAGAGGGGCACAGATTACCCCGACTATTCAAGGTCTCAGGACCGTAAGAAGGAGTATTTGAAAACTCAGGGTTATCCAGTCTTTCCAGGTTCTCTGAACAATCCAGACTCTCCCAGCCCCAGGAGCAATGCACATTCTGCAGGATCCAGAACAAACCCAGACCTTCCTGAGCCTATAGGAGAACCAGATTATCCTGGATCTCCAAATTCTCCAGATTATCACCGCCCCAGGAATAATCCCTATTCTGAAGACTACAGGACAAGTCCAGACTATCACAAGTCTCTTCCAGAGCTTGATTATATTGAATACCAGAGTGATCCACACCACTTGGGCTCACTCAGAGAGCCAGACTACCCTGGAGCTAAAGGCAACCGCCCTAGCCACAGAGCCGATTTTAACCATTCAGGCTCTAGAAGGAATCTAGGCTTTGGTGGTTCCAGAATCAGTCCATACACAGACTCTCTGGGTGAGCCTGATTATCCAGGTACTGAGAATCAACCCAACTCTCCCCACTCTTTTGGGGACCCAGACTATCCTCGTGCTGTGGACCATCAGAATTCTCCAGATGTCTGGGGGACACCTGATTACCCAGGTGCTAAGGATGGTCATGGTTATAGTTCTTCTGAGACCTGGAAAATGACCAAGGGGTAAGTTCAGGTATATCCCTTCATTGAAGAGAACTGAGTTCTCTGTCATCCAGTTGATGGAACTTAGTTCATGTGGTTTTGATTAAGGACAGGTGTGATGGTCCAGTGATTTGGCATTGTGATGAAACTCTCAGACCTGCCCATGGACTTCACATGGCTCATAGACTCCCAGTCTGTGGTGCAAAGCCCTTACCTGAATTTAATCTTTCACTTCCCCATTCTCCCACATTTTTGTCCAAATCTGTAACACATCTAGACTCTCACCATTTTTTTTAAAGGTAGCAAGATTTTATGTTTATTAAAGGTAGGGATAGAAATGTGCTCTGCAGAGCAAGTTTAGGCCAAATAAAAGTACACTCTACAGCATGAGAGCAGACTACTGTGAAAGAACACAGTAACCCAGAGCTCAATGGCAGCTGTCTTTTTGTATCTCCTGTTTCTCAGGCTGATGTCAGGTCTAGGCTCAAGATAGCTTATATTTTCATGAGAAGCCCCTATGCATGGCTTTGGGAACTGTTCTGTACCTTGAAACATTTTAATGAACAGGTCATGCGCACTTTCCAAACCAGCCTGCTGTGCTCTAATCTTCTCTATAATCTCTATAATCTTCCTATACCTACTTCCTGCTGGAAGGGGCTATAGGCCCTACATACTGGGGATTATGTGCTTTCCACCTACACTGGGTATGTGGCCAAGGATGAACTAAAATGGCTGGTGAATATGAAACAAGTTCCTGTGAAAGCTACTCATTAATGGTACTCAGAAGTAAAAGGCTATCTAGGGGGAAATCACAGATGAGACTTTGAGCGCAAAAAGGGGTAAACTGGGGTTGGCACATACTCCAGCAGGAGAAAAAATACCAATAGCTAAGTTGAATAAAAAAAAAACTGTAGCAAGACAATGAGAAAAGAGTTAGTGGCTACTGAGCTTCTTGTTCAATAGGAGAAAGTTTGATGAATTTGTCAGGAGAGTAACTTTACTATTAGGTCAGGGATGTAAAGGCCCAATATGAAAAGGAGCAAATAAGATTTTCACACTTTCTGTGGTGGAGAAAATATGGGGGGAAAAGGATGTTAGATAAGTTATGGAAAATCTGAGAGCTGTAGTCTTAGCAAGATTACCCACATCAAAGCTAAGTATGATGGTGTACACCTGTAATTCTAGCACTTGGGAACCTGAGGCAGGAGGATCACCGATAGTTTGAGGATAGCCTGAGCTACATAGTAAGTTTAAGAATAGCCTGAACTACATAGCTGAACTATGTAGCCTGAATAGTCTCAAAAAACAAACAAACAAAAATTTACATTATGGATCTAATTAAAAACAGTCCTGATGCAGGTGCCTGTTTTAAACTGTGGTGAATTAGGGTCATTAGTGACTCTACTTATTTGGACCTAAAGGAGAACTGGAGTGTTGCTATTGGAGGAAGACCCTCAGATCTTCCAGAACTATACAGGAGTGGCTTTTTTGCAGGGGTGTGTCTTTATCTTTGGATAGTTTAGGTAGAGCTGGCTATATAATTACTAGTCCTCCCCAGTTGTGTCTCTCTCCTATGTACAGGTTCTAACAAAGAAGTTGATCTGAGCTTGGCAAGGTTAGTGGGCAAGTTTTTCAGGCCTGTATGGTGGTCTCTTCTAGTCCCAGTCCTGTGAAAATTCAGGTGATCATTTTCTGTATAGGAATTTTATGACTTGTTATTGTGTCCCTTGAGGAAGGACCAGTTTGATGGTTCCTCAAGAACTGAGAATAATTCTAGGGACTTGAGGAACTGTAAGGCTTCACTTCTTGCCTCTCTACCAGCCATATGATTCCCCAAAGAAACTTTAGACAGGTCTCTTTGGGATCCTTTGCAATGAATGACAGTGACCTGCTTGGGAAGACTGCCTCTAAGAGTTATAGGATTTCCTGCTTGTGCTTTATAGATGATTGCTTATTAGTTAGCAAGCTCCTTTTTTTTTTCCAAATTGCTGCATGGAGATGCAACATTAGAAAGACATATTTGGCTTAATATTAGTGCCTGAGTAAGGGCTATGAGCTCTGTGGGGTTTTTGTTGTTGTTGTTGTTGTTGTTTTGTTTTTTGAGCAGGAGGAATTGGCTTCAGTGACCTGTTGTGAACTGACAACTGCATGACCTGACTGTCAATGTCCTCCTTGGACAAAGCTGCTTCTGTCAATGAACAGTATCTCCTCAGGGTTTGGAGGAACAGGTCACTGATATCCTCTTTGCTTGCATAGGTCTGGAAGTCACCTATTCACAACAGTGGCTAACTTCTGAGTTTATAGGCACCAAAGAAGCAGGATTAAGAGTAATGAAAATCTTTATAGTAACCTCAGGAGTATCAAAAGGCATAGCTTAGCATAGTCCCAACAGGTAAAATCTGCTTTGGCCTTTGCTATTTGAGAAATGCCCCCAATATTGCTAGTAAATCTCTTATTGATAAGAGAATAGGTCACTGTGGAATAATTAAAAATTTGTGGTTAAACATTTGACCTCTGAAGTGACATGTCAGAGCAGGAGTAACGAAGCTGTGGCTAGGATACTCCTGGACTCCAGTTAGATCTAGAGGAGAGTTTTTAGAGAAAGAAGCTAAAACAGAAACCAAAGGAATTGAAGTGCTTACTCACGACATCTAAGGTCACCCAGGGTTTCGTGCAGGAGATGGAGATGTCCATGCATGGTACATTGTAGATGTCTGTGGACTGGGACCCTTTGGTCTTCATCACAGTAGGATGAGGATTTTGGTTGGCCTAGGTCCTCTCTCGGCATGGGTACAGTCAGTCCTCCCATGCCATGAGTCAGGTACACTGACCACCTGACACATGGAACAGGGCCTGGGTGGTGGGTTGGTACAGTCACATACCCAGTGTCCAGTTTTTTGCAGTCCTTGATTGGCCCTGGGGATTCCCTTGGACAACTTGGGTGTGCTTGAAGCACTGCCAATTGGGACAGCAATAATTTTGATCTGTCATTTTTTTCCTCAGCGCATCTCCTTTTATCCTCATCTAGATCCCAGTTGTTGAACATAGAAAAGGCCATGTCCAATTGAGTTATATTGTTAAATACTGGGTCTCTCTGGGGCACTAGCCTCTAGTAGAAATAGATGGGAGAAACCTATATACCAGAGAGAGAGAGAGACAGGTGGGCATCTGAGGACAGGATATCAACTTTTTTCCTTTGGAGGTCTCTTTAAGTACCATGGTTCTTGGGCCTTTCCAGAGGTTGAAAACCATAAAAGCCTGAACATGAGGGACTTTACACCACTTTCCTTGCCTTTTGCAAAAAAGACCTAACTAAAAAGCACTAATGTAATTTAGACTGCCATTCTGTACCCATCTCTTGCCATTTCCTAGTTCATACTGGACCCAAACATTACAGACAAAGGTGGAGCCCTGGGGCTCCAACTAGCTACCCTCAAGGTCCAATTGCTGTGGGGTTTTTTTTGTTTGTTTGTTTGTTTGTTTTAAGGATACAGCCTAATGACAAGGTGGCTGGAATCTGTAAGGTGTTTCCCTTGGCCTATGGAGAGACAAAACTAGGTCTGAGTCCTTATCCCATGCAGAAGGATGAGAACTGTTGAGTTGACAAAGCATCCCTTGTGAGACTCAAGTACTTCCTAAGCATATGTCTCTGCTCCTGCTCAAAGCTGGTGTGGCACTGGTATCTTCCTGGAAGTGTATCAGTGATTTATTCCTTAAGAAGAACAATGGAGCCCTCTAGCTGTTTGTTCCCTTAGAAACTCCCATGAGATCAGGCTGGAGCCCCCTGTCCAGGGTTTGATTCCTTTAGCCATTTGAGAAACACTACACTCTTAAGAGATAAGGGTGGAAGCCCTCACATTTTCCTTAATAATAAAAATCATCATACCTTGTTTAAGGCAATTGAAATAGAAACTTCTTT